TCCTTTTGGCTTCTTTTTTCCACTTTTTCCCGCAGTTTTTCGACACTTTTCGCGTTTTTTTCGGCGTTTTTTGTCCTCTTTTTCGTCTTTCTTTTGCCTCTTTTTGAACTCTTTTGGCGCTTCTTTTGGCCTTTTTTTGGCCTCTTTTTGAGCCCTTTTTGAACTCTTTTGGAGCTCCTTTTGGCATCTTTTTGAGCTCTTTTAGTGCTCCTTTTGGCGTTTTTTCGAATTCTTCTAGTGCCTCTTTTGGCCTCTTTTTGAGCTGTTTTAGTGCTTCTTTTGGCTTCTTTTTGAGCTTGATTTTGCCTTCTTTGGCGCTTCTTTTGGCCCTCTTTTGATTTCCTTTTCGTCTTTTTTTTTACTTTTTTTTGTTTTTTTTTCCCCTTTTGAAGCTGCTTTTTAGTTCCTTTAAAGCTCCTTTTTAGTTCCCTTTATGACTCTTTTTAAGTTCCTTTTTGCCTCTTTTTAAGCTCCCTGTTAGTGTCTTTTAAGCTCCTTTTAAGTTCATTTTATGTTCCTTTTAAGTTCATTTTATGTTCCTTTTAAGCTCCTTTTGAGTTCATCTTGTTTTCCTTTTAAGTTCATTTTGAGTTCCTCTTTGCTTCCTTTTAAGTTCATTTTATGTTCCTTTTAAGTTCATTTTAAGTTCCTTTTTGCTTCCTTTTAAGTTCATTTTATATTCCTTTTAAGTTCATTTTTAGTTCCTTTTTGCTTCCTTTTGAGTTCCTTTTGAATTCTTTTTTTTTCCTTTTAAGAATCTTTCAAGTTCCTTTTTAAGTTCTTTTGAAACTCCTTTTAAGTTTTCATTTTTTCTTTTTTTATCTCCTTTGAAACTTCTTTTGAGCTTTTTTTTGCCTCTTTTGGCTTCTTGTTTGCTTCGTTTGTCGAGGGGTCATGCTGCTACTGTGCTGCTGCTGTGCTGCTGCTGCTGTTGCGGTGCTGCTGCTGCTGCTGCTGCTGCTGTTTCGCTGCTGCAGGCCGTGCGGCTCTCCTGGACAGGTGACACAGCAGCGCCGGCAGCAACTGCAGCACCAGCTGCAGCAGCTGCTGTTTCTGCTGCTGGCCGTGCTGCTGCTGCTGCTGCACCGCCGACCACGGGGGAATCCAGCAGCAGCAGCAGCAGCAACGGCAAAATGGACTATTGGGCGCAGCAGCAGCAGCAGCAAGGAACCCCCTTTGGGCTCCCAGTGGCCACGTCGTCTCACCCAGATATGCTTTTCTTTGACGACCCGCCGCAGCCAGGTATACCCGCTGCTGCTGCTGCTGCTGCTGCTGCTGTTGCTGCTGTTGCTGCTGCTGCTGTTGCTGCTGCTGCGGTTGTTGCTGCTGTTGTTGTTGCTGCCATCTTCGTTGCTGCTTCTGTTGTTGTTGTTACTGCTGCGGCTGCTGCGTATTGCTGTCAGCTGCTGTTGCTAATGCTGCTGCGCTGCTTCCTGCTTTGCTGCTGCGCTGCTACCTGTTTGCTGCTGCGCTGCAGCTGCTGCGGCTGCTGCGTATTGCTGGTAGCTGCTGTTGCTAATGCTGCTGCGCTGCTGCCTGCTTTGCTGCTGCGCTGCTTCCTGTTTGCTGCTGCGCTGCAGCTGCAGCGCCTGCCAGCGCAAAGAAGCAGCACGAGGGCATAGACCTCATGCTGTAGCTGAGCCCCAAACCCCAGCGGCTGCAGCGAAGCTGCTAAACCCTAAACCCTAGCAGCAAAACCCTAAACCCTAGCTGCCCAGCCAGGGCTGGCTAAGCCCGTGAAGCCGCTGCAGCAAGAGGCAGCAGCAGCTGCCGGCGCCAAGCTGCAGCAGCTAACCGTAAACCCTAGCGGCTTCAAACCCCAAACCCTAGCGGCTTCAAACCCTAAACCCTAGCTGCCTGAAACCCTAAACCCTAGCTGCTGCTGAGCCCTCGCAGCCCGAGTGGGGCCGCCTGCTGCCGCGGCGCAGAAACGAATGAAGTTGGGTCGGTGACTTCAGTGCAGCCCGCAGCTCAGCTGCAGCTGCTGCTGCAGCAGCTGCTGCTGCAGCAGCTGCAGCTACTACTGCAGCAGCTGCAGCAGCTGCGGCTGGGCTACGCGCGCACACCTTGGTGCGGGATTAAAACAGACGAATTGGGGTGTACGTACACCCCAGCCCCCGCCTCTGTCAGTCAAACATGAATTTGGTTCGAATAAACTTCGTCTGCTGCACAGTTTAGGGTACCTGGGGGGCCCCCTCCAGGGGCCCCAGGGGCCCCGGGGGCCCCCTGCGCGCTGGGGGCCCCCCAGGTGTCCCCGGGGGCCCCCGGGGGGCCCCCCCTAGGGTCTAGAGAGTGCATGCGCGGGCAGGGGGGCCCCCGCAGACCCCTGAAGGGCACTTTGGGGGGTTTGAGCTGCGGCATGAGGGGCTGTAGGTACACCAGAAGCAGCGGGGCGCAGCAGCAGCTAGCCACAACTGCAGCAGCAACGACGATCATATTAGCTAAACAGAAAACCCTAAATGCGTCACTCTTGGCGAAAAAGAGCAAACAAGTCCCTGCAGAAGAAACCACTCGCACACACCACGCCGGCCTGAGCTGCGGTGTACGTACACCGCGCTCCCGCGCCCCCCTGTGCTGCTCACAACCAGGTGTACGTACACCTCAGCGCGTGTGGGGCGCAGCTAGCTGCAGCAGCAAAGGGGCCGTTCAACTTTGTCTGCAGTGCTGCTGGCGGCCCCCAGGCTGCAGCTAGCTGCAGCTAGCTGCAGCTAGCTGCAGCTAGCTGTGTGTGGGGTGTAGGTACACCCCCGTGGGGTGTACATGCAGCTGTGTGGGGTGTATGTGCAGCTCTGTGGGGCGCAAAGCTGCCGCTGAATGGGGTGTATGCGCACCTCTGTGGGGTGTCTAGCAGCAGCAGTGTGGGGTGAGTGTGGGGTGTCTAGCAGCAGCAGCGTGGGGCATTTAGCTGCAGCAGCGTGGGGCATTTAGCTGCAGCAGCGTGGGGCATTTAGCTGCAGCAGCGTTGGGCATTTAGCTGCAGCAGCGTGGGGCATTTAGCTGCAGCAGCGTGGGGCATTTAGCTGCAGCAGCGTGGGGCATTTAGCTGCAGCAGCGTGGGGCGTTTGGCTGCAGCAGCGTGGGGCATTTAGCTGCAGCAGCGTGGGGCGTTTGGCTGCAGCAGTGTGGGGTGTTTGGCTGCTGCTGCTGGGGTGTACGTACACCCGAGAGCCCGCAGCAGCGCTCACCTAGCAGTGTCGAGACAGCCGAAGTGCAAATGGCTGGAGCTGCTTCTCGAGAAGCCAAAAAGGCCAAAAGAGGCCCCTGATGTTTTTGGCGGTGAAGTCCGGCCAGCAGCACTTCCACAGTTGCTGCTGTGGGGCTGCTGCGCACGACGCAGCAGTCGGCGGGCTCGCCGCAGCTCGCGCACGCCTCGTGCTGCAGCTGCTGCTGCTGCTGCTGCTGCTGCTGCTGCTGCTGCCAGCGCGCGGACGCAGGCGCCGCAGCCAAAGACACGGGAACTCCCGAGTGCCGCGGAGAAACCCCGAGGCCTCTTGCTGCTCTGTAGATCTCAGTTCCTGTGCTCAGTGGAGACGCCAGCTCCTGCTGCTGCTGCTGCTGCTGCAGCTGCTGCTGCTGCTGCTGGTGCTGCTGCATCAGCGAGGACAGCAGCGAGAGCGAGGGCAGCGGCGCAGAGGCAAACAGCGGCGCCGCCCGCAGGTGTACATACACCACAAGAGTTGTGTACTCCACCGTCAAGGCGCCGCTCGCAAACAGAGCCTACGCCGCACGCAGTGTACGTACACCTCAGCGCCTCACGGCCCCACCAGCTAGCTGCGAAGTGGCTAGCTGGCTAGCTGGCTGCCTCGCTGGCTAGCTGTGGCTGGATAGCTCGGCGCTAGCTGGCTATCTTGCTCGCTGGCGGCTTCCTGGCTAGCTGGCTAGCTGGCTAGCTGGTAGCTAGCTGGTGAGCTGGGGGACGGTCAGGCGCCAGCTGGTGGGCATCTGCCGGGTCAGCTAGCTAGCTGGTCAGCAGCTAGCTAGCTAGCTAGCTAGCTAGCTAGCCAGTTAGCTAGCTGGGCCAGTGGCTAGCTTCTTGCCCCGCGACAGCCCGCTCGCCACTGGTGGGCAGCAGCTCGCCAGCTAGCTAGCCACAGCTAGCCAGCCACAGCTAGCCAGCCCCAGCTAGCCAGCCAGAGCTAGCCAGCCACAGCCTGCCAGGCACAGCTAGCCAGCCACGGCTAGCTAGCCACGGCCAGCTAGCCACAGCGAGCTAACCGGTGCTAGTCAGCAAGAACTAGCTAGCCACAGCTAGCTAGCTAGCCACAGCTAGCTAGCTAGCCACAGCTAGCTGTGGAGTGAGGAGAAGCTGGGTCAGCTGCTTACCATGAGGGTGACGACGTCGAAAGGAATGCTGCAGAGGCTCAAGAGGCCGCCCACGAAAAGGGCCTGCAGCAGCAGCAGCGCAGCAACAACTGCAGCACCAACGGGAGACAAAAGGAAAGACAGCAGCAGGAAAAGACTGGCAGCAACCAGCAGCACTTGCGAATACACCGCAGGCAGGATCCAGCTGTCTCTGCAGCAGCCGCAACACCCCACAAATCCGCAAGAGCCCAGGTGTACAGACACCGCAGCTCCACGCAACCAAAAAACAAGCAGCTGCCTCTCCCTGCTGCTGCTGCTGCTGCAAGTGAACGCGCTCATCTGTGGATATCAAAAATAGATATTTAAACGGTAAATTGTACTTTAAATTGTTTATTTAAATTATAATTTATTTTAATTGTAATTTGAAAACTTAATCGCCACCTGCCTGTACACATCCTCCATCCACGCCGCGTGTAGATACACCCCACCCCCTGGGAAGTGCTTTTGCTCCAGCGCCCGCAGCTGCTGCAGCACGACGTCGTTGCTGCGCCTGCTGCTGCTGCTGCTGCTGCTGCTGCTTCGTCTGCTGCTGCTGTTCAAGGGGTCCACCCGCAAGAACATAGTTATGCGGGAGGTCAAAATGCGGCGGCCATCTCCAGAGAACTGCAGAAGCACGCAGAAGCGGCGCAGCTGTCTTACCCCAAACCCTAAACCCTAAACCCTAAACCCTACGCTTGAGCTCTAAACCCCTGTCTTTCTCGGTTGCAGCAGAGGCTCCCGCAGGGACGCCCTCATGTCAGTGCACGCAGCAGCAGGTGTACATACACCCCGCAGCAGCGGGGCAGCTCTCTGTGGCTGCAAGCCTTTAAGACATGTGGGGTTTGCGCAGCAGCAGATGTACAGCCAGCTGCTGCTGCGGACACCCCACAGCAGCAAACGAGCAGCTGCCTGTGGCTGCGGGTGTGGGGAGCAGCAGGTGTACATACACCCCGGAGGACAGCAGCAGCTTCTTGCCTTAATGAAAGAACTGTCGTAAAGAGTGGGGGTGACATTGTGCAGCCAGGGGGCCTTTTGCTGCGCCTCTGCTGCAGTGTCGCCCTGCTGCAGGCTGCTGCTGCTGCAGAGGGTCTCGTGGCCGTCGCTGCACCACCGCCGCAGCTGCAGCGCGAAAGCCTCAGCAGACTGCCACGGGAAAGGCCGAGCAGCAGCAGAAGGGCAAGCTGCTGCAGGCGGCGCCAGCAGCGGCCCAGCTGTACGTACACCCAACCGCCCCACACCTCCAGCCCCCTTGGCCCCCCAAGCAGCAGCAGCAGCAGCAGCAGCAGCAGCAGAGGCAGCGGCAGCGGCAGCAGCAAGACAAACAGACACGCGCTCACGCAGCAGACACGCCAGTTGGACGACAGCGCAGCGCAGCCCCAGCAGCAGCAGCAGCAGCAGCAGCCGTAGACGCAGCAGCCGCAGCACCGGCAAGGCCAATCCACGTATAGCATATACACTTACTCCATATATCTATATATATATCTATATATATATATATATTAATATATATTTATGTATATATATATATATAAAGCAAACATATATATATATATATATATATATATATATATATATATATATATATATATATATAAAGTATATATATTCTGAAAAGAGAGCCAATGCAGCCCAGCAGCAGCAGACACAAAACCACTGCAGCAAAATGCAGCCCCCAGTGGCGCTTCAGCGCTCGCAGGGCTGCAGCATCAGCAGACCCACGGAAACTGCTGCTGCAGCTGCAGCAGCTGCTGCAGCTGCTGCAGCTGCTGCAGCTGCTGCAGACACAAAAGCTGCTTCTCACTTGTTGCAGTTCCGTTCGTGTGCAGCTCGATGTCCGACACCCAAGAGAGCAATGGCCCCTGAGCAAAGCAGTCACAGCAGCAGCAGCAGCAGCAGCAGCAGCAGCAGCAGCAGCAAATGAGTTGGCACCAGGAGCAGAAGCAGCAGCAAAGGCGCCTTCAGCAACAATGGCAGCAGCAGCAGCAGCAACAGAGGCCCCTCCAGCACCACCAGCAGCAGCAGCACCAGCAATTGCACGAGCAGCAACAACCACAGCAGCAACAAAGGCAAGTTTGACACCAGCAGCAACGGCAACAGCAGCAGCAAACTCATCAGCGCCGCATGGCATTTTCAGGCCAGCCGCAGCACTCCGTGCTATCGGAGCTGTTTGCGCCCTCAGCAGCAGCTGCTGCTGCTGCAGCTGCTGCTGCAGTTGCTGCTAGCCCTACAACCCCGCTGCAGCGACTGCTGCAGCCGCTGCGGCTGCTGTAGCTGCTGCTGCGGCTGCCGCAGCTGCTGCTGCTGCAGCAGCTTCTGCTGCAGCAAGGCAGTGCTCACCGTTGCCTCCGGAAGCCTCATAATGTCGTCTACTAAATGGTTGACTCTGTCCCGAGTTGCTGCTTCGTTCAGGTGTACAGACACCTCAGGCCGCAGCACCAGGTGCAGCGGCAGAGGTGCTGCTCCCCCCCAAGATTGCTGCTGCTGCACTGCCCCAATGAAGCCCCGCAGCAAAGAGGCGGGCGGCAGGTAGCGCAGCAGATCGAACTCCGGCTGCAGCAGCACCAGCTCGCTGTAGCTCTTCACAGACAGCACGCACAGGATCCCCAGCAGCAGCAGCCTGCAGCAGCAGCAGCAGCAGCAGCAGCGCCACACACAGCACCTCCTGAAAGCCCGCTGCAGCTGCGCAGAGCCAAACTGCGTCGACTGCGAAGCAGTGAAAACAGCTGGAGAAGACTGAGCAGCAGCAGCAGCAGCTGCTGCTGCTGCTGCAACAGCAGCTGCAACAGCAGCAACTGCAACAACTGCAGCGTCAGCAGCACGCTTCGACAGCCAAAGAAACAGCACTGCCGGTGACAGCACACCGAGTAACGAAATGACACAACAGCTGCAGCAAATGAAGCAGCAGCAGCGACAGCAGCAGCAGCAGCAAGAGCAGCAGCAGCAGCAAGCGCAGCAGCAGCAAACCTGTAAGTCTTGTGGCAGAGCAATCGACCCCAAAAGGACTGCCGCATTTCGGTTAGGGAGCGACGGAGCTGCTGAGACACCCGAATTGCTGCACACCTCATTGCGCACAGCTGGCTCTGCCTCCTTGCTGCTGCTGCTGCTGCTGCTGCTGCTGCCCCTGTTGCTGCTTCTGCAGCGAAGGAAGAAGCTGCAGCGCCAACCGAAGAAACAGGGGAAGCCCATGCTGCTGCCATAGTGCTGCTGCTGCTGCTCGTGGGGCTGCTGCTGCCCCGCAGAGCCAAATCGGAGTTATGCGCTGGACCTGACCAGACGAGCATTTCGCCTTCGAAATGCTGCTGCTGCTGCTGCTGCTGCTGCTGCTGCTGCTTCTGCCGCGGCTGCTGCTCGAGCTGCAGCTCCACGCAGTCCTCCTGCCGCAGCACATCCTCTCCGGGAGCAAAATTAATTGAGCCATTCAGCTGCAGCTCCTGCTGCTGCTGCTGTCCTGATTCGCTGCTGCTGCCGAACGTAGGGCTGGACTCAGCTGCAGGGAAATCGTCCGAGGCCACACCATCTCCAGCAGCAGCAGCAGCAGCAGCTGCTGCTGCTGCTGCTGCATATGGGCCTCGCGAATGGCCCTCTGCATTCGTCTCCGGGTGTTGGAGCTGTCGCTGCTGCAGGTGCAGCTGCTGCTGCTGCTGCAGCAGCTGCTGCAGCTCCTCCGCCTTCGTGGGTTTCGCGTCCATTTGGTCTTTGCCGGCAGCAGCAGCAGCACCACTATTCAGTGCTGCTGGTGACGGCAGAGCTGCAGCAGCAGCAGCAGCACTGCCGCTGCTGCGCTGCAGAGGCGAGCGGGGGGGCACCACCGGCAGCAAATGGGGACTGTAAATGACTAAAAGAAAAGGACAAAAGAAACAAATATAAAAGAAAAGAAGAAAAAGAAGACAACAAGCAGCAGAATGGCAATAAGAGGAAACAGCAGGAATGTCGAAAGTGCCCATTGCCACGAGGCAGCAAACCCCAGCAGCAGTTGTCACGCTGCTGCTGCAGATGCAGCCCGCGAGGGTTTCTTCGAGCTGCTGCTGCTGCCGCTCCGCCTCATCCACCAGACTCCAAGTTTGCTGCACCTCCCAGCCAGCTTCGCTCACGCTGCTGCTGCTGGTCCTGCTGCTCTCGCTGCCGCCGCTGCTGCTGCTGCGTCGGCTGCTGCTGCCCAGCAGCAGCGCCGGCTCGTCCACGCCTCTGCTGCTGCGGCTCTGCAGCGACTCGCGCAGCAGCCTGCCCGTACGGTGTGGCCGCAGCTTCTGCTGCTGCTGCTGCTGCTGCTGCTGCTGCGCTGCAGAGACGCGCTTCAGCCCCGCTGCCAAGCAGCGCAGCGTGTGCGCAGCCTGGTGCACTGCGAGCCCCAGCAGCAAGTGCAGCACGAGCAGCAGCAGCGGGGTCACTGCTACCCGCAGCAGCAAGTGACACAGCAGCAGCCCGCCAGCAGCAGCAAATGCAGCAAGACACACCACCGCCCCCAGCAGCAGCGCCTTCTGGCGCAGCTGGAAGGCAGGCGAAGGCGGGGCCGCCAGGTGTACAGACACCGCAAAGTACAGCAGCAGCAGCGGCAGAGTCAGCAGCAGCAAATGAACTTCTCCGTTGACAAGCGAGAAGGCCTCGTCTGCTTCGAGGGACTCGTTGTGGACCCACACGTCCCAGTCCGTTGCTGCTGCTGCCGGTGCAGCAGCAGCAGCAGCAGGCCCGGCAGCAGCAGCAGCAGCCGCAGCAGCAGCAGAAGGCCCAGCAACCGCCGCGGGGATCCGTGCCTCCGAGCCACCTGGAACCGCCGGACCTTCCGGTTCCGGCGAGCGCTGCTGCTGCTGCAGGAGCCCCTGCTGCTGCTGCTGCTGCAGGAGCCCCTGCTGCTGCTGCTGCTGCTGCTGCAACCTGCGCCTCTGCTGCTGCTGCTTGAATCGGCGAATGAAAGCTGCTACTTCCCTCTCCCAGCCACGCCGTGTCTGCTGCGGCAGCCGCCGGGTGTCCACCTCATAGGCAAACAGCAGCGCGTCGGCGCGGGCAATGCGGAAATCCATGACTGAGCTCGCGCCCCCGCTGCTGCTGCTGCTGCTGCTGCTGCTGCTGCTGCTGCTGTTGTTGCTGCTGCTGCTGCTGCTGCTGGGGAGGGCCTCCACGGGCGCAGGGGGCGACAAGCGCAGAGACAGCGGCGAGTAAAATGAAGTTGGCAAATTGGCAGCAGCAAGGTGCAGCAGAGTCACGCCGCCAGTGCTCAGGCCTGAGGGCCGAAGACACACAATTGCTGCTGCTGCTGCTGCTGCTGCTGCTGCCACGCCTACAGACATATATTTGTTAGAAATTATCATTTATTTTTTCCTTCAATTCAAACTTCTCAACAATAAATAAAGTGCGTATTATATCGCCTGCTGTTTATCTTTCCTTCTTTTCCATGTCTCTACCAATTTTTTCCCCTCTTGGGCATTTCGTGTCCCACTTCCGGCCCCCTAAACCCTAAATCCTAAACCCTAAACCCTAAACCCTAAACCCTAAACCCTAAACCCTCCAGGAACGGACCTTCCAGCGCGTCAACAAAGTCATCTCGAGTGTCTATGGGGCCCAGGGCGGCCTCGTAAATGCCGAAGAGCCCCATGCCCACGCACACCTCTCCTGCGCTCAAACCCTAAAGCTTAAAGCCTAAACCCTAAACCCTAAACCCTAAACCTTAAACCCTAAGCCCCAAACCCCAAACCCTTAGCCCCAAACCCCCAGCCTTACGCCGTGAAGCCTGAACCCGTAACCCTCAACCCTGTGCCCTGAACCCTAAACCATGAACTCTAAACCCCAAACCCTGAACCCCAAACCCTAAACCCTAAAACCTAAACCCTAAACCCTAGGGCCCCGACAGCGAGCCCTCGCAGCAGCAGCAACGGCGGCAGGGGGAAGCAGCAAAGGGAGCGAATGACGGGCTGCTGCTTGGGTCACTTTGTGGATCTTGACGCACAGAATCGATTCAAATGAGAATTAATTACTTTAATTTAATTAATTTAATTTATTTAATTTATTTGATTTAATTAATTTAATTAATTTAATTAATTTAAATAATTAAATTCATTCAATTTGCTTCAAGCACCCAACGAAAAGTCCGTGTCCATGAACTTGCAAACATCCCGCCACTTCGCCGCGCGGTAAGCCACGGCCTCGACGGCCTTCGTCAGCCGCCACACTTCCTCCAGCGTTTGCTGCTGCAGCAGGCCCTCATCTGCTGCTGCTGCTGCTGCTGCTGCTGCAGGTGCTGCTGCAGGTGCTGCTGCTGCTGCTGCAGGTGCTGCTGCTGCTGCTGCAGGTGCTGCTGCTGCTGCTGCAGGTGGTGCTGCTGCTGCTGCGGCGGCCGCCGCAGGTGCTGCGGTTGCTGCTGCAGGTACTGCTGCCGCTGTTGCTGCAAGTGCTGCTGCTGCTGCTGCTGCAGGCGCCACTGCTGCAGGTGCCGCTGCTGCTGCTGGCGCCCCCGCTGCTGCTGCTGCTGCTGCTGCTGCTGCTGCTGGGCGTCGGACCACCAGCAGCGAAGTGATCTGGCGCTCCCTTCCAAAGTGCTGCTCCAGAGCTTCTGTCCGCTGCCGCAAAGGGGACTGAGTTGGCAGCAGCAGGGGGGCCCCCGACAGCAGCGGCAGCTGCAGCAGCAAGTAGGGGCCCCCCCCCTCTTCTGCTTCCGCGTGGGCCTGCAGCCCCGCAGCTCGCCCATGCAAATACCCATCCCCGCTGCTGCTGCTGCTGCTGCTGCTGCTGCTGCTGCTGCTGTGCGCGTGGGGCGCTGGGCCGCGGCCCGCAGAGGGGCCCATAAAGGGGGGCCCCTGGGGCCCCGAGGCAAGAGGGAGGTCTGCAGCAAAAGTGAGGTAAAGGCTCAGCAGCAGCAGCAGCAGCAGCAAGCAGCCGAGCCAGCTGGAGGCCCTGAGAAAGGCCTGGGGAGCAGCAGACATGCGCTTTGCGCAGCGCGAGCTGAGGCGCCGCAGCAAAGACAAAGCAGCAGCAGAAGGCTGCGACAAAGAGCCCCACGGTGTACGTACACTGCACGCCGAGCAGCAAGCAGCAGACACACGAGACGCAGCAGCAGCAGCACGGCCCAAAGCCCTGCAGCAGCTGCACCACTGCAGCCGCCGGCCCCCCGCCCCTGCCCCGCGGCCTTCCTGCTGCGGCAGCAGCAGCCTCCCCCGTGCTGCATCATTTTCAGCAGCAGCAGCTGCTGCTGCTGCTGCTGCTGCTGGAGAGCGTGCCTCCACGGGGCTGCCGCGAGCCCCCAGTCGAGCCGGGGAGCGAACGCTCCACGGGCCGCGGGGGCTTAAGTCTGCTGCTGCTGCTGCTGCTGCTGCTGCTGCTTCTGCTGCTAGTTGCGGCTGCTCTGCTTCTGTGCACAGGGGCTGGGCCGCCTCAGCCCTGAGGGAGGCCTGGAGGCCCCCAACGGGGCCCAAAGAGGGGCCCCCTGGGAAAGGCATGGGGCCTCAAGTGTGCTGCAGCAAAGAAAAGGCAAAAGGGTTTGCATGCAGGGGCTGGGGGCCCCGGACATTTCCCCCTTGGCTCTGTCGCTGAGGCGAAGTGAGACTTGGGGGAGCTCTTGCTGCTGCTGGCCCGGGAAAAGAAGCTTTGGTGCCGTGTGGGGCCTCCAAAAAGGGTTTAGGCGCAGGAAGGAGTGTCAAGGGTTTAGGGTTTAGGGTTTGTGGCGAGGGTTTGGGGTCTGCGGAAACTCTCCCGCCGCGGCTGGCGGCGAGCGAGCCGTGTGTACGCCCCAGCAGCAAGCCCGCCGCAGCAGCTTCTTCGCAAATGACACAAATACCCTTTTTTAATTCTTCTAAAAGACAAAACAAACACACGAAGCTGCTGCGACAAACGGGGCCCCCCGCGTCTCGCTGCGCCTGTGGGGCCCTGGCGACCATCGGACAGCCAGCTGCGACTCTGCTGCGGCTCAGCAGCAGCAGCAGCAGCACGCCACGAATTTCCTAATTTTTATCCTTTTTAATTGACTTTTTAATTTTTTATGGCTTTATAAAGGCTGTCTCATGTGGTTAAGTGCTTGCCAAGTCTAGGAAAACGGGGGCTTTCAAGCCTCTCGCCCTGCAGACGTGCAGGGGTGTCTCGGGTGTAACTGCTGCTGCCTCCAGTGACAACATATTCTTTGTTATTATTCTTCTTTTTATCTTTTTCTTTCATTTCCACTCTAGTTTGTATCATTTCCTCTCACTCCAGGCCCTCCACACTTGCTGTAGTCGAGCCGTGCGCGTCTCTTAGCGTACAGACACCGAGTTCAAGCAGCCCTGTTCCTCTGCTGCTGCTCAGTTGTTGTGCTGCTGCTGCTCTGCTGCTGCTCTGCTGCTTCTCTGCTGCAGCCAGCTGCTCCTCTGCTGCAGCCCAGCCGCTGCTCTGCTGCAGCCCAGCCGCTGCTCTGCTGCTAAGAGCTGCTTTGCATAATAGGTACTTCTTTAATATGTCTCGATTAAGAGCATTAGGAGGCCTTGTGGGTCCACAGAGCCGTCTTTACTTTAGAGAGAAATATGCCTAAGTCCCCCATTTGGTGAATTTCAAAAGACTCCACTGGAGCAGAGCCAGTTAGCTGTAGTGCATGTAGAGCCAAGGCCACAGCTAGAGTCCCAAAGCAAGAAATCCCAAAAGAAGAAGATCTTGAGAAGGTCTATTCAGTCCGAGGCTGCTGCTGCCTTGTTGGAAGGCGCTGCTGCTTAGGCTAGCAGAAGCAGAGTTGAGACAAAGCCACAAAGAGACTCAGTAGCTCTGCCTCTTTCTGAGCATTTATGGCAACTGAGTGCGCAGCAAAGATCATTAAAGTGCTTTTTGTGCAGCCTTTGACTTCTAGGCATCCCCTCGCTGAAGGAAAGAAGGAAGCTTTCAGTGCTCTGTTCGTGGGGCCAGTGAAAAGCAAAGAACACTGTTTCATATTTTCGCTTTTTTTAGACAGTAATTGCTAAACATCGGTCTATTATTGCCTTTCGGGCCTTCTAAGTTTTTTCCTCAATGCACTATTAGCGCCTCTTGTACGGCGGCGCTAGTAGCTTCCTAGCCTCTCTAAGGTTAAGACACTGTTTCCGGGGCATTTGTTGACACAGTAGAGTACTATATACTCCTGGTATATCATTGCTTTTATTCTTGAATAGTTATAACTGTGTTAGCCCATATAGCTAACTGGCCAGCAAGGCTTCTGGCCGTATAACCCATATTCCGTTGTACTGGAGCAGCAAGAATGGCCAAATGCGGCCCGAAACAGCCCTAAATTTACTGGCTTTTAAAAAGAGTATATTCTTTTCCTTTTAGGCTTGAGCTCATAAGCTTGATGCTTCCTAGTTTTCTGCGTTTCCCTAAGTGCCCGCGACCGGCGAAGCTTTTCCGTGCGAAAATTGCTGCAGCATTCCTCACTGGCAAATTGGACAGACCTCCAGTATTTAATCGAGTTTAAAGACGACTTTTGGGAAAACAGGGTGACTAAATTATTTTTCACATCGCTGTCAGTTGCTGTTGACAGAGGAACTCCTTGAGGCACTTATTGCACCGAAAAGATTCCCGCGCTGAATAAAATTGGTGATAAATATCCCGGGTCCGAAGATCTGTTTTCTTTGTGTATAATCTTCATTCATTTTAGTATTTATATTGCGTATGGGTCAAGCGCTGCTGCTCTGCGGACGCCGTATAAAGGACCAGGTGGGGGTCCTTGCTTTTAAGCCTTTCAGCCACGACCTTCGGGCCCATGTAGAAAGCCGCTACGATATATGCATATTATTTCCCTTCTTGCAGTATATATATATATAGCCCTGAGAACAGCTCCTAAGGAGGCGTGAGTAGAAAAGCGTTGAAAGCCTACAGTTAATAGCTTCCAGCTTGCACCTCGCTATCGTGGCTCTTAAGGGCCGAAATAATCACTGTTAGGAGACATTACGTAGGCCAAAACTGCTCTAATGGTGTTATACTGGGATAGTGGCGAGTGTATCCCTGAACAAGAAAATGGTGGAGCGGCGCTCATGCAGTGGGATGAGCCCATCTAACTTGTGAGTGCCTCTCCCGTTTTTCCGTCACGCGTCAAGTGCACTGTACTTCATGACGTTCTTAAAACGGGAATAGAGCGGAAGCCCAGTGGCAGCCGGCCTGGCGGCTGGCCCACATCTCCGTAGCGGCGTGCCAAGCTCTGCATGCGGCAATGAAAAAGCGTCAAGAGCAGCGATTGGGCGTGACTACAACACGGGATGTTTACCCGAAGAGACTTTTGGGAAAAAGGAGTTGTGGCATCTAGCGAACTTGTCCGTTACAGGCGCCAACTCTGTCGAAGTAGGCTTGGCGCTGTGGGGCGAATGATAGCCTGTAGGCATATCTGATCAATTAGACCTTCAGTGCAAATTCATTCATCATCACGGGGCTCTGCTGGCTAGTGTGTAGCCTTTGTTGCCAGTCTGTATAAAGAGAGTGCTCTAAAACGTATCGCAGGCAACAAAACTGACTCAGGCCAGCTGGTAGAGCTCACACGCCAATGGGTCAGTACGTGAAATACGCCCAGGCAGCCACCGGCTTGCCTCAGATGGTTCCTCTGTGGCTCGAGAGTTCGAAGAGTAAAATCTGGAGCGGCCTCTGTGATTTGTGTCGTAGCAGAAGGACACTCTAAGAACAATGCACTGAGTGCTAAGCTAGACGGCGTGCTTGTTTCAGGTGGTCAGCTAGCCGAGAATATCATCAGGGATTTATGCAGGAGCCCGCTGCTACGTGCAGGACCATAGTGTTAATCAGGAATTGCATTGAGAGGTTGTGGAGCAGTACAGATTAAACCGCAAATAAAATTGCCTCAGATAACCAAAATTGGTTTTTGCAACAGACCAGCTTTACGGTTATTTGCATTCAGGCCAGGTGTTGGGACTGACAGCATCATTGATTCTGCTGCGAGTTATACGTACACCAAAAGAGGCAGCGAAGAAATATTTCTTGAGCCAAGAGCTGGGCACGAACTGTGCATCACCTTATTTATTGCACAGTTTAATGCCTTTACTTCATCTCTTTTATTGCACACTTCGATGTCTTTGCTGGTGAGAAAGAATAATGCGCTTGTGTTGCCAACGAGCAATAATATTCAAAAGCTGAGCAGAGCAGCGCTGGCTACACCCGCTTGGCGGCCCCCGTAGACACTCCAGCAGCGGACTCGCATGCGAGCCTCATTGGGAGGTCCCCGCTGCAGCAGGAACTCTGCAAGCATTCTTTTCGTTTTGCTTTTGCAATTTCAGTGGTGAAGCTTTGAAGTGGCCTCAACATAAAGAAGTTCCATCTGTTGGCCAGGCCCTGCGAATCGCCGCAAGCCAAGCTACACAACTGCTTAGTACAAGAAGCAATGCGTTCAAAGCGTAAATTTCAAATGGCTCCTAGGGTTAGAAGTACTTGTACTAATTCAATCGCTTTCGCTGAAACTGCTGTCCTGTGTGCGCGGGAGAGCCAAGCAACAGATGTGGATAGGCACAAAGAAAGCCATCCTCTCAATCGCGTTTCGGATCTTAATGCTGGCCCATTTCAAGTCCTTGATGAAGAGCTCTAAAACAAAAGCCCTTCCTCTGCCTTATCCGTCGGAATGCTGGCTGTATTACTTTTCGGGCGCTTAACATTCGCCCTAGACTAGTTCGTTCCCAATATCTTAGACTGTTGCGTAACCCTATAAGCCCCACTTCCCAAAGAGGCCCTTGGTGCAGTGCTAGAGAGAACAGCTCCGGGCGAAAGCTTGTACGCAGAGTTGTGAATCCTTCTTGAAGAACGAGCCTGCCAAAGCTCGAAAAGGGATAAAAGCATTGCATGCTATATCTGAAAATGCCGTCGTGGCCTACATTATTATAGTGAGCGTCAGCTCAGTTGGCACGGCTAGAGAAAGGGAGGGAAAACCTCCAGAAGCATAGCGGAAAAGAACTGCTGAAACGCCACCAAAGGAATTGAGAAGGCAGAAGGACTACCGAGGCCCATCAACCCGGTATGCGAAGGTGGCTGCCAACATTGGCACTTTTGAGAAGTGGCGCCGAAAAATTCAAAAAATTCGCGTCTAGCTAAGCGTGCACTAAAGCAAGTAAACAAACTTTTACAGCCATGTTCAGAATTTACATCCTTTCGTACTGTGTGAATGCACTTACGCTAAAGCCTGATATTCACAGCAGAGCCTTAGTGCAATCGATTCTTTGCTCGACGACCCCTGCGTGTCTACGCTGTCATCAGTTGATATATATTTGCACTTTCGTCTTAGCGAAAATGGCGTAACACTTCAGAGAAATCCGCGAGCTACTGGGCTATATTAAATGAAACGCAGCTACACAAGTATAGGGATAGCTGCGTAGCAAAGCAGCTGCTCTCTAGCACGGCAAGCGCATCTTTCCTTGCAACGAAAATGCGTGAGCCACTGCATCTTCAAAAGCAATCCTGTCTTGCTGAATTGAGATAGTGTAAACAGTCTAGTGGGCAGCCCTCCTTTCCCACCCAGTAAGCTACGTGGCATCTGATTCCTGAACGAGCTAGTCAGCAAAGGGCAAGGTTCTTTGGGGCAACCAGTCCTTTGAGGAATGAGCGCAGCTTGTGGCTAGATCTGGCTTGATTGGAGTTTGCTCAGCTAGGCAAGGCCTTCATGTGTCTCACGACCTCGACGCCAATTTTCACTTCACAAAGGTCATCGGCCGTGGCAAGGCCAGCACAGATACCAGTTGAAATGCGCTTGTTCTTTCTACTAAAGCTTATGCTCAGCATTATCCTCCTCTGCTGCAATCCTAGGTCGCCAAGGATATTGGGTGGATAGAAAGGTGGTGAATGCAGCCGCTAGGAATCAGCACGTTTGCAGGGGAGAGCAACCAGTCCAATTAGTGTTCCTTCTCTTCTGCTAACCTGTGCAGATGTGCCTATCATGAATGGAAAAGGCTGAGCCCCCCAAAATGGCCATGCATGTTTTCTTTGTGCGAACTCTTCTCATGAAACCTTTTAGTACCACTGTTTGCAGGCGCACCAGCTGCACGAGCGAGGTACAATGGCAAAGCAAAACATTGTTAATTTTTTGTAAATTGAGACACCGATGAGAGCAAGTGTACCCTTCAAAAAGGGCCAAAGAATCACAGTGTAATACAAGCCTTGTGCCTGGGGAAAGCCACTATCTAAGAAAAGTCTCGCTGCCTGCAGTGCCTCTGCGTTTATGTCCATGAAAATGCCACATAGCACAATGGGCCTCATCGCAGAGGGCCAAGAGCGGGACAGCATTGCCCACACCACTTCAGAGGGGGCCTCGAGTGTTTCTTCTCAAAGGATTCCCCGTCAGTGCTCTAGAGTCTGTCTTATTTTACTTTTGCCCAACTCACAGGCTCCCTCGCCTGTATCGTATTCACCCGTAATTCAATGTTTTGGAAGGAAACAACTTATTTCTCGTGTCTGGCCCGCCGAACACGAGACTGAGGCTGGACTTCAAGCAAATCACCCGGCATTTATTCATTAAAGGAGACTCGCTGCACAAGCTGCTGCCAATTCCACTTGCAACTCTGAGACCTAACGGGGCACTATTAGCGGACTTGCTCCTGAAAGGCTACTGGGGGCTCATAGTGGCCCCTGCTGCTCGGCTGCGAAGACTTTTGCTGCAGGAAGACTCTCCCGCGACGCTGAAAGTCTAAACAGCGGGCACTTTCAGTGATTGAGGCCTAGAACTCTCTCTGCGTTAATGTCCAGAATGCGGCTAAGTCCGCGAGTTGTCTTTGCTGCAGGGCCCCGCCAAATGTCTTAGCCATTTTTTGCTGTGCCCCGCCGTGGCTGCATTGGCTGGGGGCCCCGGGCTCTGGTTTCGGGCCAAAGCCTTCGGGCTCGCCCGCAGGGTTGAAGACCCTATTAATTCTTTAGCTGGGCCCCAGCACTGCTTCGTAGAGCCTTTAAATAGAACCTAGAATGGCAAAAAATAGGAGAAGACGTGGAGAGTAAAGCAGTTGTTCCTTATCTTGCGTTCCCCCGAGTCCGCAGCGGCGGCGACTCAGGCACAAGACCCCGCAAGGAACTCGTAAGCAAAATTTCGCCCCTGGGCTCCACCTGTACGTACACCGCGGAGCCAAAAGAGCTGCTTTGAAGGTTTTCATGCAGTATTGGAGTGTCTATACACCCGGTGAGCACTGAAGGCTGCACGCCTGGGCGCGGCGCGGCTCTGCTGCTGCGTCTTTGCTGCGAGATTGGGCGTGCAGACAGCTCTGGTGCACCGTTTCTTTCCCTGTTTCCCTTTCCCGTATATTTAAATGTCCTTCATATAAACTGTTGCGGCGAAACGGAGTAAAACAAAGTTATTGTGCGGCGTTTGTTGGGAGAGACCAACCCGAGGCCAGCGATCAGGCTGGCACACAGCAGGGGTCCCGGGTGCTTGTCCTGGGGGGGCAGCAGGCCTTTCTTGGGCCTTTGGGGGCGTTTAATTCGATTTTTTGCGCTAAAGAAATGTTTAACATAAAATAAAAAGGAAATATGGCTAAATTAAGCGGTAATATGCGGTAGAAGGCCTGCCCCTGGGCTCCCCACACCGAACCATCTCAGTAAGGCAGCAGGGGGGGCCCCAGCCTCCCGGCGGTCCTTTGGGTGTTGAGCTCCTCCTTCTAAGGCTGGTCTCGTTGTCCTTTTTTCTGTTTTTTTCAGTTTCGTTGTTTCTTTTGTTTTCCCTGCCTTAATAATCCTGCTGCGGCTTCCGCTGTGGCCCCTCGGGCCGGCCAGGACTGAGCGGGGCTCGGGCAAGCACCCCCACCCCTCCTTCTGGTGTCCCGCGGCCGCGGCTCTGCACAGTCCCCCTTAATACATTTCTCGGGCTTCAAATTTCATGAATTCTTTCTTTATTGCTACGCAAAAGGCTGCCTAGAGCTGCGCGCGGGCCCAGCCAGCCGGGCGCTGCAGTAGCCCTGCCCCACCCCATGCAGCCCGGGGGGGCCCCTCGTGTCTGTCGCCCGGGGGCCCCCTTTTGCGTCTTCTCCCACAGTTTTCGCAGGTGTACAGACACCGCAGCTGCCAGCTCTGCAGCACAGTTCCGAGCGGCGGCGAAGCGGCCTTTCAGTGTCTGTTGATGCTGCTCCATTTGGCCTTGGGGCTTCAGCAGCAGCTTCTCCGGGTTTTCGGCTTTTGTCTTTTTCTGCAAAGGCCCGCTGCGGCGCTTTCACCGCAGCAGCTGCATGCGCTGCTGCAGCACGCGGCTGCAGCAGCAGCAGAAGCAGATGCCCCGAGGGTTTCCCGCAGCTCGGGGGCCGGGGGCCCCTCAGGCGGCGACAGCAGCAGCAGCTGCATCGCGCGAAGCAGCAGCAGCGACCGCGTCGGCAGTGAAGGATGGGGACTCTCTGCTTTCTCACCGTACAGAGGACTACTCTTTGCTGCAGCAGCTGCAGGAGGTGCTGCAGCGGTACACCTCCCTGCAGCAGCAGCAGCAGCAGCAGCAGCAGCAGCCGCAGCCGCAGCCTCCGCAGCCGCAGCATCCGCAGCCAGGTCTCCTGAGGAGCCTGTCAGTGGGTCCCTTCTTTTCGTCTCCTGAAGCAGCATCAGCAGCTTCCCCCGCGTTAGTGGCGGAGGCTGCAGAGGGAGCAGCAGCAGCAGCAGCAGCAGCAGCAGCAGCAGGAGGCGCGGGCGTGTCGCTGTCATGCGGCGACTGCGTGTCGCAGAGCAGCAGCAGCCACAGCAGCAGCAGCAGCCACAGCAGCAGCAGCCCCGCGCCGCCTTCGAGCGCCCGG